TATTTCTGCCCATTTTTGAAGCGCTGTAACTCCAAAGATGGTGATTTTTTTTCTTTCATATTGAAATCACAGATACATAATCATATGTGCTATAAAATGCATGTTTGCAAAGTTTGGCCAATTGTTTCGTTCTCACGTGGTTGTCCTCTAAAGTAGGTCATATTTTACATTTCAAGAAAAATACCAAATTTTGTCCTATTTAAGATGCAATTTATACAATATGAAAGCAGAAATCTAATAATGCTTTGCACAATATGTAACCCTATGATTGTCTATCAAATGCATTCTTGTGGAGTTTGGAGTCTTGTTTTGTTGCTGTGTACTTGTCCCTGAAAGTAGGCCATATTTTCGACATGTGGTAAAATTAACATTTTCGGCTGTCTTCCAGGCTCTATAACTGACAAAGTGGAGTATTATTGGAACTCAATATTTGTAGGTATTACATACATGTATTGGGTATGAAATGAATTCTTGTTGAGGTTGGAGTCTTGTTTCGTTGCTGTGTACTTGTCTCTGAAAGTAGGCCATATATTGGACATGTGCTAAAATTAAGATTTTGGTCAATCTTTGAAGCTCTATAACGGACAAAGCAGGATGTTCTTTTCCTTCATTCTTCGTAGGGTAGTAGATACATGTATTGTGTATCAAATGCATGCTTGTGGAGGTTGGCGTTTTGTTTCGATGCTGTGTACTTGTCCCTGAAAGTAGGCCATACTTTGGACATGTGCTGAAATTATCGTTTTTGGCTAACTTTAAAGCTCTATAACTGGCAAAGTAGGTATTTTATTTCAATTCAATCTTTGTAGGGTAGTACATACATGTATTGTGTATCAAATGCATGCTTGTGGAGGTTGGAGTCTTGTTTTGTTGCTGTGTACTTGTCCCTGAAAGTAGGTCATTTTTGGACATTACAGAAATTAGCATAATATATGGCTGTGTTTGAAGCTATAGAAATGACGATGTAGGATTTTATTTCAATTCAATCTTTTAAGGGAAGTACATATATGCATTTTGTATCAAATGAACTTATGGAGGTTTGGGTCTTGTGTCATTATTGTGCACTTGTCCCTAAAAGTAGGCCATATTTAAGCACATACCGGTCTGCGCTTGAAGCCCTATACACGCCAAGGTAGGATGTTATTTGAATTCAATTTTCTAGCAGAAGTAACTTTATCAATTGTGTATGAAATGAAGGCCTATAGAAGGTGGGTTCTTGCGTAGTTGCTCTGTACTCCAAAAGTAAGCCATAATTAGGACATATTCTATTGTTTCTTTGTAGCTGTCCCCGAAATTAGGAAATATTGCTCACGTTTCTATATATTATATATATAGTTCTGTGTCGTTTGAACATTTGAAAAAAAATTCTCCTTGATTCAAAATTTGAAAAACCAAATCATGTGTCTTCGGTGTTTTATTTATTTT